TTTGAGGTGAATCACTATTATTAATGGATTAATCTGAAAAAAGTATTTAAATTTTTGTAAGTACTTTTGGAGTCTTTCTCATTTCTCAATTTCCTTTAGCCTCAATTATTATATTTCTAGTAATTCTTCATAGAATTGAAATTAAGTATAGTTAAAAATATAAGGACAGGGAATCTCGAGTCATATGTGAGCACTATATGAGGTATATTATTGAGAAAAAGTTTTAGGATAAATGGCGAGAACATCATTCCCAAGTCAAGACAAGGAACAAGATGAAGAAAAGAATCTGGAAGGTATGATAAAAGGATGGCTAACTGCTATATATATGACAAGGCCAGATAATAAAAAAGAAGTCTCCTTATGGGATATATGCAAGAATTGAAAATCCAATAGATTAAAAATGATAGGTGGCCAAGTACTAAGTATTGAGAGCCCCCTGATGATTAATCTTAAGGTGGATGTAACAAAATGTGGCTAATGAAATATTTTTTAAAATAACAGTTTAGTAGACTATACGAAAAGATTAGTATTCGCACAAAAATAATTAAATTGTGGATGGAATTTTATACATACGAAGGCAATAATTTAAGTATATGCTTGTGTTACCTTTATGGGAGGGCTTACCACATAAAACTCTGTTGGTTTAGGATCAGGTTTGTAAAAAATTTAAACAGGTTGATGGACAAATATGGGATCTTTCATGAGGAGATAGTTCAATAACAAATTTTTAAACTATGAGAATTATTAATATCCACTGCTGACTAAAAGTATGATATAAAATATCATAATGGGCTGAATGGACACCTAAATTTCATAGAAAGGTGATTTGATAAATTAGAAGAGCGAGTTATTATTCAACTCTTTTTTAATAGGATGATGAATCTAATTTTAGTTGTATAAATTAACTCAGGTTCAATATAATGCTAATCATTGCTAGGGGATAAGCAATTTTTAATAAATCTAAAAAATTTATAAGTTGATGATGTAAACTTCAAATAATGTTTATCATATTAGCAAATAACTTTTTGAGAATGGTATTAACATTAGAAAAGGATATTCAAATCTACCTTTATATTATCGCTATTTCAATTAGAATTAATATTGTATTTTTGTAAACTAATGATAATAACTATCGAGTATCTCATTTTATCCAAAAAGCATCTTAATGTTACCTTTTGAAAGATTACTATTCCTCATTATCAAGATGATTTGAGTTTTGGCTATCGATATTAAAATAAGAAGAAAAATTAAATTGTGCATGAATAAATATAATATAGATTAAATAAAATACCAAGCAAATTCTCAATCTTACTTCCAATATATAATAAAAGGTTTATCATCAATTTTTTCCTTTTAAAGTCATTAATAAAAAGAGGGAGAAAATAGTACTCTTGCATTCAAATTAATTTCTATAATTTTTGGATGGACTGTAGATATATATCAAAAATGTTACTGTGAAGAATTAAATTTATAAAGTGAATGCAATTTAGAAATTGTATTTGGACTATTTTAAATACTTGCTAAACTAATAATTGCACATAATTTAATTAATTTTAATGTTAGAATCACTCATGATAGTGTGCTCATAATATGAAAACAAAGAATTGCACTAATTTTTAGAGCTGTCAAATTTTAAAAGGAACGTCTCCTTAAAATTGTTCGAGTTAAGACCCTACATGTTCATGGTTATCTGAGACATCATGTACTTCAACATTAGCAACTTATTTTACGCACAATCGATTATTATTTGCAAAAGCTGCCATCAATTTCTATTTACTATTTAAATATGATTAATTATTCTACAGTTAAGAATTTATAGAATTACTTTTTAAAATCAGTATTTGAGGTTAAAACTGCATATCATTAATAAATTTCATAAATAGCCTGTTTTTTAATGAAATTTATTATAAAAGTATTATAAACATAGATATTATTATAAAAATGTTGTTCTCAAATATTTTCCCTCATTTTATTACTAAATTATGATTATAACAATAATTTTCAATTTATAAATACATTCTTGTAGATTCTAAGAAAATTCAAAAGGTTAAGAGTATTTTAAATGATAGATACAGTTTTAAAAGTAATACTCATTACTGGATATGTACTGCTAAGAAAGAAAAATCTCTTAAATGTTATTTGATTTATCGATAATAATGCTTTTTGTATATAATTATTAGTAATTTATCTCAATAAAATTGTTCTTGGCATGTAGAATTTGAAAATATTCATTTGCACCTTGAGGACATATAATATAATTAACTAAAAAGTACCTTTTTTGAATAAAATAAGATTAATTGGAATTACGATACCTCTCTTTTAAGAAAAATAACCAATAAATGCTTTTACGTTTAAGATTAATTTAGTAGCTCATTCTAAATTAAAATCTGAAAATGAATTAAAATACACAATAAACAGAAGTTATGACAATAGATGTTAATGAAATGTTATAATTTGGTTTTGCTTTTAGCATGAGATTTGATCTACAAATGGTTAGTTGGTAAGGCATATCTTTTCTACAGAAAAGCATAATAAGGAAATATATCAGAGGATATATCTATAGGTAAATAAGGAAAAGATTCATTTCCAAAATGGAGTAGGGTTCCCTTCTTAATTAACATGTCTGAATCTATTAATAGGTAATTATTATAGATTAATCAGATTATCACCTTAAAGATTAATTATACTAAAGATACTGCAAAATATTAAAAAAAATTTAGCTTATTGGGGGGACCTAATAATTCCTTGAAACTAATAAATTCAGGTACTACTCATAAAAGGATTCAGTACTTAGAATTGTTAGATCTTGAACTTTAGGAAAAAACTACATTGAAATTTATATATTTCCTCAGAGTATTATAAATGAAAGAAATAATTTTACGAAACTATTTAAAACTCCTCTGGGTAGTTAAAAATCTATCAAAGTACTTTAAAATTTCTCAATCAAATAAGATCGAGATTGAAAATAGCTCTATTTTTACTATGAAATTAATAAAAGCATCAAAATAGAAATTATCTTTAAGTTTTTTCTCTTTCCTTTTAATTACTTCTCAATACTCCTAGTTATTCCTAATTCAAATTTATGTTAATTCCTTTTTGCCTTTATTAAAAATCGTAATTTGCTCTTATTTTTGAAATCAATTATCTTGTTAAATTTCAGATAGTTCTTTTAATTATTTTCCAACTAATAAACATCTTAGAAGAAGTCATATTCTTTGCTTTCCAGAATTTTTCAGGCCAAATATATTCCTTGCTTTTTGTTTTGTTATTTCTGTTAAATTTATTCTGAGATTTCAAAATTAAGAAATTAACTTTGCTATCTTTGCCTATATCAAAATTATTTGGTTTTACTAATTTTGAGTAATACTGAAGCATTTTTGCATTAAATATTTATATTTTACTCTCTATGATATTCGATATTTATATTTAGCTTTTCTTTGAGTACATAGAATTATATTCCTGCTTTTGCTTATTTATAAAAGCTATCATTTCAATAATAAGATCAAATCACTTTCATTTCAAAGCCTTACGAATCAGGCTTCAAATTCAGGAATTTTTATTTCATTTTTACAACATCTCTTACCTACTTAAATTATTCCTTAAAATAGTTCCAATATTTCCTTAATTATTATAAGCAGTCAAAGTAATTGTCTGAATTTCAAGAAGTGTTTCTTATTCTATTTCACAATAGACGAATAAAAAATAGGTAGAATTTTTTATTTTCATACTGTTTATTTTTTTGAATGATTAGAATTTCTTTCCGAACCAATAATATTTATAAAATTCTATATAATGTATCAATAAATATTAAAGAAATAGGGGAAGAGTGGCAAACTCATTAATACTGTTTTCTTGAATCCTACTTCCCTAGTGCTAAGTAAGTTTAATACATAATACATAATTCAAAAGAAAAATGGTTATATAGTACAAAATGAAAACTTGAATTAAGCAATTAACAATATATGCAACATGCAAATGGTATTATTCATATAAATAATTGATTTTTTGCTAATTAAGGTTTTTTACTTTTAAAAATCTTTTTCCATTTTTTATATGCATCTTTTATGTTCATAAATATTCTACAATAAGGCCTAAAGATAAAATGATAATATGGATCCATCCCAATATGATTTTTTTTCTTGATTGAACTTTTCTTCAAAATCTTAGATGTATAAGAATGAACTTAACATAAAAGCAAATACTGATATCTCAACTACCATCTGAACAATATAATTATTTTTATTTTAACACTTTTTATAACTAAATAATGATCTAATCTAAAATAAACTGGTCAAAAGGAGTAATCCTAATTAATAAACTTGAGATCTTTAAATATTTATAAGGAAAAATAAAAAGAAAAATTACCTTCCAAAACAAAGCATTTCAAAAATTTCATATTTTTACATCTTCTGTTATTATTCTTTGAATATCCCTAGAAATAAGGTAAAATAAAGAATAAGAATTATGCTGGCCATAGTAAGTTGAACAATATCTAAGGAATTATTAGTTTAAAAATTTCGCATATACAATAGCGTTTTAAATATCATATCCCATCCATTTAGGAGTAATGCTTTTTATATTCCATTAAAAGACATATTTTTTTTCAAATTAATTAATTCTAGGCAAAATTTATAAAAGGAGCTTTAAATCTTAGTAATTAACTTTGGATTGATATATAAAGATAATTATGATGCATAGTAAAAGTTTCTTGAACAAAATATTCGCTTGTATATAACTTTTTTTATTAGTTGACACAATAAAATAAGGAATAAGAAAATTAAGCTTTGTAATATTTGGCTTGAAAGATTGATAATCAAACTTGGGTCCTATTTGTAAATGTCAAATTTTCCTTCCTAATATGGTTATTAATTTTACGAAAGTTCAATGAACTAAAATATTTATAAAAAATCTATAAAGTCTAATAAAGGTTCGGTAGTTACCAAATCATAATAGAAAAATATATCTCTAAATTTTCTGGAAATCGCAGATTTATGTATTTCAAATATTACTGAAATTATAAGATTGCTAAAATCTCGATAAATAAATTCCCACTTCCAAATAGTAGATTTCCGCAGGCAAACCCAGACAAACCATAGATTATATAGACATTTAAACTTTTCAACTTATAAGAATAATCTCTCTAAGTGTCATCAAAATATTATGGATATTGCAAAGTTATTGATTTTGTAAATTCATCCATGACAGCTTCATCTATATTAGCAACTGTCTAATTAATTAAAATTTTAAGATTGGTCTAAATTCAAGTAATTATTGCACGTTTATTTCGATAACATATTCTCCAAAACTCACATCTGATCCCACATCCTAGATGATATTTAAATTGCTTTTCCAATTCTTCTTTTTTACATTTGATAAACTAAAGCTTATTCTTTCTGATAAAGGCGAAGTTGTATATATTTTTACTTATTAATTAAACTAGATGCTTATGTATTAGTTATTTTAAGTCATATTGAGATATGTAATTACTAATTTTGGAGGTTTGGAAAATGAACATTAGCTAGGAGAAGCTTTTATCATCGTGGCGCATACCCAACTATATTCAATCAAACAATTAGTACATCCATCTTAAGCCTCGTAATTTCCATCATCGCATTCTTCTTGTTTCTAAAGCTATCCATCTCCACAATCTAATTATAGTTAGCATTAATTTGAATTTAGTAATTAGTATTTATCATTGCACTCTAAACAAGTACCTTGATAGCAGTCATAGCAATTCTCAGGACAAGAATAAGAGTACATACAATTGAAGCAACCATCAAATTAGATTGTATTGCCATCATCACAATCCTCTTCTTTTGTGACTATCTGATCACCACAAACAGAAAGACAATTATTATTAAGAAACTTGTATCCATCTTCACATTTTAAAATGCACTATCCTTTATCACATATGTTACAATCTTCGGAGCATTGAAATTTGCATTAGAAACAACCGTCATAAGGTTGCAAATTTCCATCATCACATTCCTCGTATTATTGGAGAATGAATTTATCTCCACAATGTGGAAAACATGCATTTTCTAACAGCTGAAATCCTACTTCACACTCCAAGCACATTGAAAGTAATTAATGTTTACAATCAGCAATTATTATATAAAGGCAATCCTAACAGTTATCCCATATCCCATCATCTGTCAGATCGCATTATTCAACCGAATAGGGAATTACATTGCCATCTCCACACATAGGAACACAATCAAAATCAGTATTAAGATCATATCCAAAAATACATTCAAAACAAATTCCAAATTCACAAGTTTTGCAAAAGTTTATACATGAATATTCACATTAATACAAGAATCATTAGATATCAGATTAGCATCATCGCATTTTTCTTATCCTTGGATAACTCCATCACCACAAATTGGACGACAATTTTCAAAAAACTAATCTTAAATCCAACCCTCTTTGCAAATCAAACATCTAGTTTCAATTTACTCTAAGCAACCTTCGTTGAATTTATTTATTATAATTTCTGAAACTTCAAAATTCCTTGTTTGACATAATTACCCTTTATCACCACAAATTGGATGACAATTTTCAAGTAACTAATCGTAAATCCAACCTTCTTAACAAATCATGCATCTAGTATCAATTTATTCTAAACAACCCTCATTCAAATTCTTAAACATTATTTCTGGCTCAGTATAAAATACTTCAAAATCTCTCATGGAACTCAAAGATGAAGACTTAAAATTCAGTTTTAATATAGGATCATGATGATCTTTGATTAATATTTCTATTAAATAATGATTACTAATAATTTATTTACCATATAAATAGTCTACTATTATAATATTTGTATCATATTTAAAAAACCTTATTAATACAAATATATGAGGAGGAAGCTATGTTTAATATTCAATTTAAGAAAATATCAGCAAGTCGCAAAAACTACATTAGTAGTTACTACTATCAAAATTTGAATAAAAAGACCACCCATCAGAATTTGTGGTGATATATTTCGAATTTAGCGAATATTAATGCAGTTTCCATTATAAGCAAAAACTAGGATAATTTTCAATGCATCCTGCACCTTCATACTCACATTTACTGATGCTTAATTTAAATGATATTAATCCTCCATAATCCGAATAAAGATATATCCAAAAAGTTCTTCGATTATGTTAATAAGTAATAGAACTAGTATGTAAATATTCTGGTTAAACACCACCACATATCGAACTTTAAGTTGATATCACTGAATCAAGACTTTTGTATTCTTAATCTAAAGAAACAACAATTGGACGTATTTAATCAATACTTTTGTAATTAAGAATAAAAAATACCTTATAAATTATGCTTCCATTACAATATGAGAATGAGGTTCTAAATCCAAAAAGATCTTACTAATTGCATAATCTGAATTAAAAGGAGACCCAAAATATTAAATGCCTCCACAAATGTTCAAATTACAATCAACAGAATTCCACCCCCCCCCTAATATCAAATTAAATTATCAGAGATTACCATTTATAATGTTAGAATTAGCATTAAATTCGTAAATTACGACTTGTTGAGTTGTACAGATTATAACGATAAGCATTATCATTATTTTTATTTAAATAAATTATTTTAATGTAAAATATGTTTAAGTTAAAACATGCTGATTTTGAATGGTTTAGAGTATTATACATTTTTATTTGAAGGATTCCTGTTTTCTGAAAGGAATTTACTTAAGTGCAATACCACTAATAATAGTCCTTTATCTTCTCAAAATTTTCCCTACTCTTTACACCTTTATCGGTTTTCTTTTATTTCAATTTTTATGAAGGGTTGTCCCTTTGAGTGCTGTCCAAGTGATCCAATTGCAGCATGCATAATACAACAATTGAATCAAAATGGTCACAAAACACAATTATTAGATATTACAAAGGAAATTGTTGATTCCTTAATGTAAAAAAAACGCGAATATCCAGAATATTAACTTGATATAGTTAATCCTTTTGAATAATTTAAGAGGAACAGACACTTATGTAGGATGAAAGTGTTTAGGAATAAATTGATTGGTTATATCTATTGCATTTAGAAGATCTATTACAAAGAAATATTAAATATAATTTTTATTATTCAGTTGATGAGTATATTTTGAACTCTCTCCTTGATGATAACTTTTCTCCTTGGGTTTTAATGAGTGGAGCAGTTTATTCCAGGTTTGATTATGGTCAAATCTAAAGTATTTCTAAAGAAATCTGTGATTTTCTCAAATATTATTCACTTTTATCCAATATTTTTCAAAAAAAGTTCACTCAATTCCCCTTTTACACTTAAGATCTTGATTTAAGTTGGTTGTTAAAACTCAAATTGATGGCAGTTCTCTGATACAATCAACATAAAATAATTGGCAATTTCATCTAAATGCTTAGCATTCATGCCTGATTAAAATTCTTGAAAATTAGAAAATCATTAAGAGTAATTAATCTCACCCAAGATTTTGAAGAAAATGCATAAGACTTACATGTAATTAAATGTTTAAATGTTGATTAGGCAAATATTATTATAATTAATCTTTGATTTCAATACAAGTTTGATTTTACATTATTTAAACAATTTAGTGAGTTTTATCATTTAATATTATGACAAAACATCTTTTTGTCTACATTAGATTAATTTTATAAATTCAAAAACTATAATAAAGAATTAGCTCTTATTTGTAATTCTGTCACCATTGAATGAGGAGGAAATCATAGTAAATTCCCTTGCCTCGTTTACTAATAATAAGATTCACTTAGGCATTATCCCTTTATAATTTTTCGACTGTCGGGAGATTTCTCACTCAATATTGAATTACAAATATCGATAGATTATGTTAAACTATAATATTGGAGATTTTATATATAACATGATTTTAAGTTTGAGCTGTTAATATTTCAATAACTAATAATTAGGTTGTTATTTCAAATATATAATGGAGTTTATTTTAGCAGATTGATAAAATTCTCAACAACATAATAAATTAATTAATTTAATTTATGAAAACAATCAATATTAAGGTTTTAATAAAATCATAGCCATAATTTATTGTTTATTAATCAGCTGATATCATTGAGATTTTACAGATGATAAATTGTGAATATTCTGAATTAGCTGCTTAGAGTGATTTTACAAAGTAAAAGTGCAATCACAATAATGAAGGTTTAATTTAGTGTTTAAGTTATAAAACAAATTGATATTAAATTTCAATATTCTTCATTTAAAGAGTGGCCAGTATCTTAAGAGATTATGATAATGCGAATAGAAATGTTAACTAAAAGAAAAAAACCTTAATTTCTACATTTCTAGTTTATGATAATAGATAAATCTAGAATTAAACATAAATTTAATTCAAGGATTATCTACTCTCACTTACCATTTATTAATCAAAGGTTTCTTTAAGTTCGATCGTTTTGAAATGTATACTTTGAAAACTCTTCAAACAATATCATTTTTTAATATATTAAATATCTTACTAGAAATATTCTTAATGACATCTTCAATTAGATCTTATTGAGAATATTATAGGTTAATTTCATAAGGAATTTTATAAATATGGAAGATTTATAAATTTATAAATGCAGTACATAAAACTTAGTTTGATAAATTTATTGTCAAGAAAAATGTTATCAGGTTGGAAAATCTTAATTAAGAAAGGGTGACTGATTGAAAATTGATACAGTAAGCACATCATACTACTGAAAGTGGTATTAATGGCTTCATTTTAGAAAGTACATATATATTGTTTAGTTTTTGATGAGTTATGGATACAGTAAAGCTGAATATAAAAGGGTGATTAATAATATCGAATCAAGAGTAGAAAAATATGATATCTTAAATTTCTAATATTAGGGGACTATTAATTAAATGATGAATTAGAAAACAATTTTCTCACTAAAAAATTTATAAAATATCGAGTGCTATAAAACTAATCTTATTGAGAGAAGTACTTAGTTAAGTTGATGATGAGGAGCTTGCTGCAATGATATTAATTATATTGTGCAATAATACTCATTATATTGATTAAGTTATGCTTAATAACATAAGGCTGTATAATGTTTATAATAAGACGCGAGTGAAAAATTTTTCACTTACAATAATATTATCTTCACTTTTGCTTTCTTTATAATTCTTTGATCTTCTTCATTTATTTTATCAATGAGATTGGAAGATAAACATAAAAATGCACCAAATCAATTGGTATGATTTACTCACCCTCTAGAATACATAATGAGAGCAAACTTAATCATTAATTATACATTTCTTAGAATTAGAATACCTTGAACTACTGAATCCTTGATTTCATTAAGTTAGGAAAATTAGTGGTCTCATTATCAATTCTTATTTTATACTTTAGCAGATATTTTGATACTCTTCAATATTGAATTGAAAGTCATTTATTTCTATTATGGCAATTCATTTTTTCATCTCCTAAATTATTTTCATTTATTATGATAAATTCAAATACAAATCTCTTAATACTTTAAAATTAATAAATAAAAATCAAATATTTGTAGTTATAAGAATTTAAAAAAATACCATCATAAATAATTGATTAAATTATCATTATGCTATTAAATTGAATTTTATTTGCAAAGATAGCTATGTTAGATTTGAAAGATATTGCTTAAAAAATCTAATTTAAGCAATAACTTCAAAGTATATTCTGATTTATTGCTCTAAGCGTTGNATTTATTAATCAAAGGTTTCTTTAAGTTCGATCGTTTTGAAATGTATACTTTGAAAACTCTTCAAACAATATCATTTTTTAATATATTAAATATCTTACTAGAAATATTCTTAATGACATCTTCAATTAGATCTTATTGAGAATATTATAGGTTAATTTCATAAGGAATTTTATAAATATGGAAGATTTATAAATTTATAAATGCAGTACATAAAACTTAGTTTGATAAATTTATTGTCAAGAAAAATGTTATCAGGTTGGAAAATCTTAATTAAGAAAGGGTGACTGATTGAAAATTGATACAGTAAGCACATCATACTACTGAAAGTGGTATTAATGGCTTCATTTTAGAAAGTACATATATATTGTTTAGTTTTTGATGAGTTATGGATACAGTAAAGCTGAATATAAAAGGGTGATTAATAATATCGAATCAAGAGTAGAAAAATATGATATCTTAAATTTCTAATATTAGGGGACTATTAATTAAATGATGAATTAGAAAACAATTTTCTCACTAAAAAATTTATAAAATATCGAGTGCTATAAAACTAATCTTATTGAGAGAAGTACTTAGTTAAGTTGATGATGAGGAGCTTGCTGCAATGATATTAATTATATTGTGCAATAATACTCATTATATTGATTAAGTTATGCTTAATAACATAAGGCTGTATAATGTTTATAATAAGACGCGAGTGAAAAATTTTTCACTTACAATAATATTATCTTCACTTTTGCTTTCTTTATAATTCTTTGATCTTCTTCATTTATTTTATCAATGAGATTGGAAGATAAACATAAAAATGCACCAAATCAATTGGTATGATTTACTCACCCTCTAGAATACATAATGAGAGCAAACTTAATCATTAATTATACATTTCTTAGAATTAGAATACCTTGAACTACTGAATCCTTGATTTCATTAAGTTAGGAAAATTAGTGGTCTCATTATCAATTCTTATTTTATACTTTAGCAGATATTTTGATACTCTTCAATATTGAATTGAAAGTCATTTATTTCTATTATGGCAATTCATTTTTTCATCTCCTAAATTATTTTCATTTATTATGATAAATTCAAATACAAATCTCTTAATACTTTAAAATTAATAAATAAAAATCAAATATTTGTAGTTATAAGAATTTAAAAAAATACCATCATAAATAATTGATTAAATTATCATTATGCTATTAAATTGAATTTTATTTGCAAAGATAGCTATGTTAGATTTGAAAGATATTGCTTAAAAAATCTAATTTAAGCAATAACTTCAAAGTATATTCTGATTTATTGCTCTAAGCGTTGGTAAAAAATGAAATTAAATATTAGGAGTATATATAGCCTTATTGAGTGATTCCTGTGGTGTATTATTATTTTTGTGTAAATATTAGCTTTCAATCTATACAATGTAGATTCATTAAATGAAAAACTAAATTTAATTCAATGGTGCAAAGATCTATGCCTATCAAAACCATTTGGATAATAGGTTTTATTTTTATATACAATTGAAAATATAAAAGTTTGAATTGATATATAGTAATAACTAAAAAACCAATATTAAGTAAAGAATATTGAAGAACTGATAGATTAATTAGTAGTTTAAGTAAAATTACTATAATACATTGAAAATAGATCGAAG